GCAGCCCGTCAACCGACGGGGCGCGGGCCACCCGGCGCACCTCCGCGCTGGAATATATAAAAAAAAAAACCTGATGTATTTATTTAAAGGAGATGGGCACCGACCGCTGACAACAGGGGTCAAAAGCTCGCCCCGTGACGGCAGCAGTGTAGACGCTGAGTCGCGCGGCGGGAGCGGAGGGCGTGGCCTCAGTGACGCCCGATCAAAGACTGGAACTGTTTTCGTGTTGGATGCACTTTTTTTTCCATTTTTTTCCCGTTGCTTTAAAAAAACGAAAAGAAAAAAAAAGCCATATGTTAAAGCGACTGTCGTCCGTCGGCACTAGACGTACGCACGCGTGTCGGAGAAGACGTCGATGAATTTCAATGTTGTGTTAAAGGCGGAGTTTGAAAAGTTTCCCAAGGAACTCGTCACATGGCACCGAGCCGCAGCGGTGGAAATAAAAAAAAAAAAAAAACACTTCTGTGTCTGTAACATAAGAAAAACCAAACATTTAAATAAACCTTTAATTCTCTAGACTTCACCACGACTCTGTCTGTCTTCAACGTTCCAGCACTTTCCATGACTTTTCAGGCTTTTCCAGGACCTTGGTTTTGATTCCAGACCAGTTTTTTTTTATTTGACCCAAATATATTTTATATAGTACGTCTGTATTTTACAACAACAAATTGACAACGTTGAACTTAAAATGACATTTTTAAGAATTTTAAACCGACGTCGCCGAGCGTTGGTTGTTGTTTCTATTCAAATTTATTTATTTATATATGGAAATATATATATATATATTTATTTTACCTTTTGCAGTTTTAACTAATTTAATTAAATATATAGTGGGGCTTACGTTACTAGTCCGCAACTTTCGCAAGATTTTCCTCATTTCATCAACAACGATGTCAAACGTTTTCTTAATTATTATCATTTATATATGGTCAATATATTTGTTTATATTTATGTTTTTGATGTTGAGATGTAGGGATTTTAATTAAATTAATTTATAGTATATTTC